TTATGTTAACTTCTTGATAAATCACCAGGGTTTGTGTGTGAGGACAGTCTACTTCCATTTATCAAGCTAAAAGTAAACATTAGGACTGCCAGAAATTTGACCAGAACTTTTTCTTGTTGAACATGATACAGGGTGGCCAAATAAATAAAGGAATAAAAAGACGACTTTTAGATCTAAATACGCAAAGTAATACATTCACATCAAAACTTAATTTGCCCAGATAATTCAAGAAATATCAAGACATGTGTCCCTATATTACGGAAATGTGAAAAAACAAGTCCCAAAATTACGGAAATGTGAAAAACCAAGTCCTAAAATTACGGAAATGTGAAGAACCGAGTCCCAAATTACGGAAATGTTAATAACCGGGTCCCAAAATTACGGAAATGTGAAGAACCGAGTCCCAAATTACGGAAATGTTAAGAACCGGGTCCCAAAATTACGGGAATACTAAGAACTGGGTTCCAAAATTACGGAAATGTTAAGAACCGGGTCCCAAAATTAAGGAAATGTTAGAAACCGGGTCCCAAAATTACGGGAATACTAAGAACTGGGTCCAAAAATTACGGAAATGTTCAGAACTGGGTCCCAAAATAACAGAAATATTAATATTTGGTTCCCAATATTGTTAAAAAGTTCTTCCAAAATGACAGCAGCCCTGAGAATTTGGTCCAAAATGACGGATATTTTAAAATAAAAATTCAATGGTTAAAACCAGAATGGTTTTTACTCACTCCGTCCCTAATTTACGCATAAGGCATTCCAAATTTTGTGAAGCTAAAAATGAACTGTATCTACAATTTTTTGGGTATTTTTTTGCATTCCTTGAAGTCGCATTTAATTCTTAATTAACATAATTCGCAGCGAAATATTTTATTTCTTATTTTTATATATTTATTATCATTTTTAACTTGTAATCTTGTTCAGTAGTATCTTGGTTTTAAATAGTGTAAGATGTAATTTTTGCAAAAAGGAAGGAAATGTAAAGAACCAATGTATTCTTTAACTTGCCATTCCTATAATTATAAAATATGCATTGCAATATCTCGATATTCTCAAGGACTTAAGGCAATACTAAATATGTATTTATATGCATATTTTATAAACTATGTGAATATTAGCAATCAAATTTGACTTTAAAAAATTTTAAATTGTAGGGATATTTCACGTTTAATAAGTCCTAATATTTCCAATATATTTTTTTCATTATGGCTTGTTGCGTGTAGCTATAAATATGTTTCCGGTGACTTCAACGCGAAAAAAGAGAGGTATCGTACTCATCTTACAATCTGCTATCTGCAGTATAATAAGAACAATAACCCTATCTTGGTGTAAAGATTACTCTGTATTATAATGATTCTGAAACCGTAAAATTACACCACAAGATATTATGATCTAGAGCAAGTCCACACTTCCTTATCTAACACCCTATACCGGCAGACCCAGCCTACTTAACGATGCAATAATTGAACTTTTGGTATGAATTCAAGTATTTATTACCATTTATGGGAGAAATAGTTCAATCTTCGCTGCATGGTGTTTAATAATGGATGATGGCATGGTATATTTCTCTAATCAAGACTAGGGAAGGTTCTACAATGGTTATTAGAGGAAGTAGTTTAGAAAAGAGATAATAAAAAATGTTTTTGGATAAAATTTGACAATAGACAGAGAAGATTGGACGGGTTTAGGTGGGGTTAGAGAGACACAAACATATTCAAATAGCAGGGTGATGCCACCTACCATATATTTCATTTAATGATATACCCATCCCTCCCACATCAGCCGCATAATGCTTCTCCTCCCTTACCCCTTCTCCTCTCCACCTCCCCTCACCTCTTAGAAGTTTACACGTAATTAAAGAGAAGCCTTTTTAATCGACAGCTTCATTTTCTCTCTCCGACTACACTCTTCCATCAAACTTTGAACATTTGAATACTTCCTCAGAAAGTTTTTAGAAACTGTTAAACATCAAACATGGTTGCGTTTCAGATATTTCTCAGTTCAACAAAAAATTTTGTGAAAATTTGACATGATTCTTGGAATTATTGTTGGAGACTTGAGAGTCCGAATTTAATGATTTTTAGTCGCGTCTTAAATCCGCCAAAAACCGGTTTCAATTGAGCCGCGGCTTAAATCTTGAAACATTGAATACAATTTTAAGTGAAACCAACCATATTTGAAAAAAATTCTTTAAATTCGGCCTACGGAAGGATAAAAAGCTTTAGACCGAAAGTGTTCAAATCAGGCTAAATACATGATAAGAATACTTATTAAGTGTTCAAATCAGGCTAAATACATGATAAGAATGCGTATTAAATATTGAGAATTAACAAATAAACTGGATTATGCGATCTTTGATGCTAAATTTGTCAATTTTGAGCAGACATGTTTAGGTTTAGTTAGTTTCGCGTGGGAAGGGTTATGATACAGGGTGTCCCCTTAGAATGAAACTTAATAGACGACTGTATGCACTTTTTATGATATTCTTTTTTCTTTAAAAACTCTAGAGTTCCTTGCAGCTGTACACTTCGTTTATACAGAGCGTCCCATATCATATTAGATTATCTCTAATCTTTAACGACAAAATAAACCCTTAATACTCGAAAACCTTATCATTTTCCGCAAGAAAATTATTATATAAGCCTTATGTTATTTTTCAAATTGATTTATTCTAATTAAATTTTCTTATTAGTCCCGAAAATCGCAATTTAGACCTGTTGACGGTCTAATATGATGTGGGACACCCTGTAGAATCTTGAGAGGGAAAATGGTTTAACTTTGACGGTTTTTAAACCTTCCCATGTTCAGACTTTTATTGAACACAAACAGACAAACTGACCCGACAAGCAAATCAAATATACAGATTAAATGTGACACAGAAACCCGAATTTAAATGCTAAATTCAAGATTCGGTCTCACTCTTTTTGACAAGGTAACAAGTGTATCATAAATTGAAATTTGACAATCATTGGACTCATTTTAGAGATTCACTGGTTACGGGTATTGTTTAGATTTATAGGTTTGTTAAGTTTTATGTAAAAAGATGCGTCTCTTAAATAACTAACCAAGGTATGCAGTATGCATGAAGGTTGACCTTTTAATGAATTTAATGTTATTATTATTATCATTATTATTTGGATATTAAGTTCTGTGATCAGTATAAAGAGCTCCAAGGTGTGGTAGGAAGAAGAAGGTTTAAATAACCCGTAATAAATAGTATTACAAAATCTTACACTGTCAAAAATGATTTAAGGTTTTGTTAGATTTATATAATATGTCAATATACTCTCAAAACATATAGTGAGACTCATAAAACTGTGGAATATGAAGACGACAGTTAGGCAATCTGGTGTGTATTTGAAGTTGTAATAAAGAAAACTAGAAGCTTAACATTACCTTTTTAAGAAAAAAGGGTCTGAGTACACTGCACAATTGCTGTGTTTATTTGGTTTATTGCTGTGTTTACTTGAGTTTAACAGTCGTCTTCCTAAAATATATTTAAAATATATTTAAGCAAAAGATTTTTTTTAACGAATTAAACTGCAAAAAGTCTATCAAAGAACAGTATATGTAAGACGACATTCAAAACTATTTATCAACTTACATGTTTCGTGGGACACCCTGCACTTTATTTAACTATATATGGGACACCCTGTAGGTAGAATTTCTTTCAGATTAGGTATACATTTCTATTTTTTCAACAGTGGTGTGTTGACGCCTGCATAAAGTTTACGAAATCTGTGCAGATATTTTGCACAGTTTGGAGTTTTGCATAACGTTTGCAGTTGCAAATTTATTTGGTTTGGCAGATCCCAGAATCTGTCAGACATTCATCATTTTTCAATTTGGGTTTAAACCAACAATATCCTGCTTAAAGAGAATATTGGGTTAAACACTAACAGGACGGGTATCTTTATAATACAGGGATAAATATTTTCCTTCAAACATGCGTAAACACCCTTCCCCTCCATATCCTCTCACTATATCTCCTTACCTCACTTCATCCCTCCCCCTTTTTTTTTAGAAAAAGTAAATTTATTTTATTTTTATTTTTCAAATTACTAAGATTTCTAAAAATGTATACCCTTCCATAATAAATGGTGTTGCAACTTGCAAAATGCAGTGTTTATCAGTGTTATGACTATGAGTGCATTCGTCTTAAATCATGTACATGAGGTTTGTATTTGTAGAACCCTGGGTTAGGGCGTGTACATGAGGTTTGTATTTGTAGAACCCTGGTTTAGGGCGTGTACATGAGGTTTGTATTTTTAGAACCCTGGTTAGGGCGTGTACATGAGGTTTGTATTTGTAGAACCCTGGGTTAGGGCATGTACATGAGGTTTGTATTTGTAGAACCCTGGGTTAGGGCGTGTACATGAGGTTTGTATTTTTAGAACCCTGGGTTAGGACGTGTAAATGAGGTTTGTATTTGTAGAACCCTGGGTTAGGGCGTGTAAATGAGGTTTGTATTTTTAGAACCCTGGGTTAGGGCGTGTATATGAGGTTTGTATTTTTAGAACCCTGGGTTAGGGCGTGTACATGAGGTTTGTATTTGTTGAACCCTGGGTTAGGGCGTGTATATGAGGTTTGTATTTGTAGAACCCTGGGTTAGGGCGTGTATATGAGGTTTGTATTTTTAGAACCCTGGGTTAGGGCGTGTACATGAGGTTTGTATTTGTTGAACCCTGGGTTAGGGCGTGTATATGAGGTTTGTATTTGTAGAACCCTGGGTTAGGGCGTGTACATGAGGTTTGTATTTTTAGAACCCTGGGTTAGGGCGTGTATATGAGGTTTGTATTTGTAGAACCCTGGGTTAGGGCGTGTATATGTTAGTTTAAAAGGAAAACATTTTTATTCTTGTGATGTTGCTGCTTTCAGAAGCACATTTAATAAGAAATAGCCCTATGTTGTGCTCTTGATTGTTTTATACGGTTTGTGTATGATTCAAATGTGTGGTATATGTGTATCGAGTTTGTGTTTGTGATTGTGTGTTATATATGTGTGATAAAGTGTGTGATTGTGTGGTATATGTGTGGTAAAGTTTGTGATTATGTAGTATATGTGTGGTAAAGTTTGTGATTATGTGGTATATGTGTGGTAAAGTTTGTGATTATGTAGTATATGTGTGGTAAAGTTTGTGATTGTGTAGTATATGTGTGGTAAAGTTTGTGATTATGTAGTATATGTGTGGTAAAGTTTGGGATTGTGTAGTATATGTGTGGTAAAGTTTGTGATTGTGTGGTATATGTGTGATATAGTTTGTGATTGTGAGATATTTGTATGGTTGTGATACTCTGTTGTGTTGTTGTTTGATTTTGGTTTCTAGTGTATAATGATGAAATATTAAGGACGTACTACATCCGATTTCAAGATCACTAAGGAGGGATTTCCCTTTCAACACGACATTTAAAATATATTTTATCAAATAAATAAGATGTTTTAGTAACCTGAACCCTCGCTTATTATCATACTGGAGGTCAAAGGAGCTGAGTTCTTGTCATAAACTCTGATTTTTAATTCCTTCCAACCCAATGTGCAATGTAGTAAAACTTTCAGACTAGGACGGGACAAGGAGCTTCTGCTCTGATCTATATTGGAGTTAGGACGGGACAAGGTGCTCCTGCTCAGATCTATATTGGAGTTAAGACGGGACAAGGTGCTCCTGCTCAGATCTATATTGGAGTTAGGACGGGACAAGGTGCTCCTGCTCAGATCTATATTGGAGTTAGGACGGGACAAGGTGCTTCTGCTCTGATCTATATTGGAGTTAGGACGGGACAAGGTACTTCTACTCTGATCTATTTTGGAGTTAGGACGGGACAAGGTACTTCTACTCTGATCTATTTTGGAGTTAGGACGGGAACAAGGTGCTTCTGCTCAGATCTATATTAGAGTTATGACGGGACAAGGTGCTTCTGTTCAGATCTATATTGGAGTTAGGACGGGACAAGGAGCTTCTGCTCAGATCTATATTGGAGTTAGGACGGGACAAGGTACTTCTGCTCTGATCTATATTGGAGTTAGGACGGGACAAGGTGCTTCTGTTCAGATCTATATTGGAGTTAGGACGGGACAAGGTGCTCCTGCTCAGATCTATATTGGAGTTATGACGGGACAAGGTGCTCCTGCTCTGATCTATATTGGAGTTAGGACGGGACAAGGTGCTTCTGCTCTGATCTATATTGGAGTTAGGACGGGACAAGGTGCTTCTGCTCAGATCTATATTGGAGTTAGGACGGGACAAGGTGCTTCTACGCAGATCTATATTGGAGTTATGACGGGACAAGGTGCTCCTGCTCAGATCTATATTGGAGTTAGGACGGGACAAGGTGCTCCTGCTCTGATCTATATTGGAGTTATGACGGGACAAGGTGCTTCTACTCCGACCTATATTGGAGTAAGGACGGGACAAGGTGCTTCTACTCAGATCTATATTGGAGTTAGGACGGGACAAGGTGCTTCTACTCCGACCTATATTGGAGTTAGGACGGGACAGTGCTTCTACTCCGACCTATATTGGAGTTAGGACGGGACAAGGTGCTTCTGCTCAGATCTATATTGGAGTTATGACGGGACAAGGTGCTTCTACTTAGATCTATTTTGGGACGGGACAAGGTGCTCCTGCTCAGATCTATATTGGAGTTAGGACGGGACAAGGTGCTCCTGCTCAGATCTATATTGGAGTTAGGACGGGACAAGGTGCTCCTGCTGCGATCTTTATTAAAGTTAGGACGGGAAAATGTAATCCTATTCCTACCTTTATTTAATCAAAACCAAACCAAATATTCTGGGAGGAAGAGCTGTGGCTAGAATAATGATGATATCATCAGAACCAATAAACCTGTGGCCACAACATCAAACCTCAACCTATATCCAGGCCTCCGGGGGTTAACAGTCCAACCTGTCAAAACAATACGCAAAAAATATGTTAAATATATCGAACTACGAATACAGAGAGCTTCGCACCCCTGCTTCTATTAGCAATTTTAGCTGTTTTGCTTCTCATGTCGCCAATTTTTTCGCGAATTTTTATGTTTTCATTGATGGATTTCCTAGAATTAAAAAATTCGTCATTTTCCAGGCGTTTTGACGTTTTCTGAATACAGACAAACCGAAAAACAAGCCAAGTATGTTTATAAATGTAATTTTGTAAATCGAACAGACTTTTGGAACCATAGAACAAATTGTCTTTATTAAAAATTCTTGTAGAAACATCAAAAATATCGTTAGCTAGGTCTGGAACTAAATTAGTTCCTAATCTATAATTATCTAGGTATTTCTTTATATATAAAAGAAGAAAGTGTGTAAAATTTAAGTTATGTATCCAGCAAGCGTGGTTTGGAGAAATCTCTTGTTTTGAGTGTTTACAGTGTTTACCTCCATAATTTGTTCATTAGTGGGTTCATAACCCCTAGTGGGGTTCATCCTTATGCACACAATTTCAAGATACATACAGGGTGTCCCACTAAAAGTGTCGAATTGAAGACGACCAAATATAATATTGTAGAGGGACGTATTAAACTGCAGTAAAGAATATTTTGTATGAAATGAAAGGTTTGCTTAATGTATATTTAACATTTGTCGAGTTTAACTTTTCCTGTTTACTGGGACACGCTGTATATACAATATACATAGATTGCATAGATAGGGAGCAGTAGATGTAGAGGTAGTCGTTGTTTGTTGATAATAATCACATAGAGCCTTTCCAATCTGTAGTCGTAATTGCAAGAAATTCGCCATTTTTAAAGTGGATTTTCAGATTCGCAACATTTTGCTCAATAGTTTTAACAAATGTAAGATATTTGGAAATTATATTTACTGCACACAGTGCATATTCTTTACGTCAATTTTTAACAGTTGTGACATTTTATGATTAAAAGGAAAATGAAGAAAATGAGATTTCAAATGTCTCTGGTTCTCACAGTATGTCATCCAGTCAGAACTTTTGTGTTTCAGATTCATTTAATTTCTCTTCGAGATCCAAATGAAAGTCATACCCTACTGCCTTCAGTGTAAATATATCTTTGATATAATTATTTATAATTGAACAATGTATCATTTCTATGAAAATATAGATATTTTTTAAGAAACGCTTCCATCTCTATTTTTCACCCATTGAAGCTTACACCACAGTATTAAGAGGAAGTGTCTGCTGAGTCCACTTAAGAAAACTACATAAATAATTTATTAACACTTGATATGGAAGTGTGTATATGATCGAATAGTTTACATAGCTAAAAAAGGAATCAATATTTTTTCAAAAAAAAAAGGGTTTTAAGGGGGGGGGGGCACAATGTTACATAAATGCTCTTGTACGCCCCTGAATCCCTACATGGATAACTTTAGGAAAGGAATCAATCATTTATCTTTAAATTTAAAAGTGCCGGTATTGGATATCGAGATCAAGCGTTTAAGATTAACTAGACTCTATATAAAAGTTCCGATTTCTGTTCTATCTTGATCCTGATTAGTTTGAAACCTTGTGTTCTCCGCCTAACCTAATTTTGTGTAAATACTCTCGATAAACTTGAGTTAATTGACGGGATCAAACCTTTAATGGGAGATGATGAATCATCAGAATCTAGGCTATAATCCACATTAATGGATTAATCTTTAATAATACTTGAAATATTGATAATATACCGATCAATCCCAATCAAGGGACTGAACCTGGTTTTATTCTGATCACAAGTTAATCTTTTGATCCAGTCCAGAAGATGATCCTTCATTTATGATCATGGTTCTAGAGTTGATCAAGGTTCTAGAGTTGATCATGGTTTTAGAGTTGATCATGATACTAGAGTTGATCATGGTACTAGAGTTGATCATGGTTCTGTAGTTGATCATGGTTCTAGAGTTGATCAAGGTTCTAGAGTTGATCATGGTTCTAGAGTTGATCATGGTTCTAGAGTTGATCAAGGTTCTAGAGTTGATCATGTTTCTGGAGTTGATCATAGTTCTGGAGTTGATCATGGTTCGAATATTTTTTTTAAAGAATCCAGGTTGATCTTTATCCCAATTTGATTTTGATCTCGTATAATTATAAGTTTTTGTTTAACAAATCTAAAAGATAACATTTTCAGATGCAATCCCATCCTGGGCCTGTTATTAGGATGCATCCATCAAACAGCTGACTCTAGTTCTCCTGTCATATTGTTACTCCGGAGTTGTTCAATCCATCCTTAATCCTTAATTTATCTCAGTTCATCTCGATCTCCATCAATTCTTGAACAAAGAACTAGAGTCAGTTCAATAATTGGTTTTCAAGGTTTAGATTCTTCTAGATAAGAGAAATGTGGATTCTATTATTAAAATTATCTCCAGATACAATACATGGAGTTTAATCAGTGGCGTATTCAGGGGGGGGGGCTAAACCCCCCCTGGATCAGTGAAATCTATTGTTTTAGGGGGTTGTTTGGCCCCAATGGGTGCTAAGCTACCCCCCCCCTTAAAAAGAATACGCCCCCGCGTTTAAGTAATTTTAGACATAAGTTCAAGTAACCAGACATTTATTGATATATGTACATACATGTACAATGGTAGATCCTTGCTTGATTCACAATGGCACCCTTCTACCTTTATACCTCTGAGGGAGGTATCCTTGTTTTACTACAGATTGTCCCAATAAACATGGGAATTCAGTGACGAATTCGATATTGTCTTTTTAAATAATTCTTTGATTTAGTATAGTGATACCTACTGAGAAAGCTGTAATCCGTAAGATTTTTGTCTGCTATGTTTACTATTTGTTTGTTTATGTTTTGACTGCACAAGGTTGTACTTAGTAAAACAAGAAAATTACCGTATACAAACAGAGTAAACTTGTCCGTCTACACTATTTATCTTGCAGAGACATTAAAGATAAATCTTTACAGCCATTTACCGTTTTCATAAAAAAAACTCTAGCAAACATAATAATATTATGGTTTTAGAAATTAGGTATTACAATGCTAATTCATAACAAAGACGATATCTAATTCGTCACTGAATTCCCATGTTTATTGGGACACCTGTACTGTAAAAATTAATTTCGGTCTCTCTTTCAAGTGACATTTGTCTAATCAAGTGTATGAATGAAAACTCCATGTTTTTGTTTCTCAAAACTGTTTATTTTTATTTGTGACTTTTCTCTGCAAAAGAGACTTACGCAGAAAGACTGGAGAAATTATCAGAATTAAACAATTTTCGAGTCAGCAAAACAACGTTATCTTCAACATTGATGATTAGAAAAGGGTTTCAATGGTACGTTGTGAAATGGACGTCTAAGAATGGAGGGTCACTTGAAATTACGTTTACAGTCCCTTTAAGTCGTTTTGCTTTTGACATGTTTATTTGACAGTAAATGTATATTTTTGTTTTGATTTCAATTTCACAGAATTGGATTTTAAAATTATTAAAAAGATTAAGCTATTTATTAAGCTCTCATATAGTGTATGTATACTAATAATCTTAATTTGACCTTTACTCACCATAACTCTAAATTCTACATTCTATAATACATGCAAGATGATGCGATAGAGCTGATAATGATCATTCAGCTGAAAATTGAAGCTACCGCTATTATTGCTCATAATGATATCATTTAACTCAATGTTTTTCATGTAACGACGTAGAGAAAAGATCTCCAGGGTTCCGTAGATAATCAGGGTTCCGTAGATCTCCAGGGTTCCGTAGATAATCAGATAATCAATTCTAATCAATTTTCTCCGGAACCTCTAACCTATAGAATTACACTACTATAATCTTGATATCTGGCCTACACACAAGAACTAATATCAGTCGGAGCTAAATATACGAGTCCAGGAGAAATATTCTGATCAGCCCTAACCATCCAGCTAAACTCTGAATTTATGGGATCTTCGAAACCCAAAGTGGAAGACCTCAGATATTTTAAACTATGAATTCTGTTATATCAAATAATCTAAGTTTGAACTATAAAACGTTTACACCATCAGATTACAACGATATAGGGATTAGAAAATCAAAGTTTGTGGCAGAGACATAATTTCTTCAGAGCGACAAATCTAGTATCTGCAAAGCAAACCATAAGTCTCCTAAAGAAAATGATTGATAAAACTAGTCTTAGATAGATTTGTTTACATTTGTTGCATAAAATGTTCTGGGTCGATTTTACGCTGGGTAGTCGGCAGTGGGTACGCGTGAATCCTTGTACCGGGACCGGTTCGGTTCATGAAACGATTTGAGCCATGTGTTCTCGTTACAGAAACATCTGAAAGAGATGAAAGTGGTTGAACCCGACTCATGGCTAAATCATGGTTTATCCTATACTGTCTTCTAGTTTTCGTTTAATGATGTGCAGGGGGGGGGGAGTTGTAGAATATACAGGGTGTCCCACGAAACATGACAGTTGGTGAATAGCTTAAAATGTCTTCTTCCATAATTTGATAAGTTGTTTAATACCAAAGATGATGATAATAAATACTAACTGATAATAATATTATAGTAAAATTGATTTCAAACAAATATATATTGGGGTAAAAGATTTGTTTAACGAAATAAACTGCA